CTTTTTTAAAGGTTACCTGTTCAGTTCAGTTTTTTTTTTTGTTTTTCAATTATATAGCAAGTAATTTCTAGTCTAGAGGCGTCTCTCTGTCTCCCCTGGACATTGGCTCCGCCCAGGGGAACTGTATTTTTATTAATTTAGATTATAGTCCTTTAAATAAATTTAATTTAATTTATTTTAGCGAGTTTCTTTTTAAAGGTTTAGACTTTTTTATTAAAGTAGAAGTCAAATAACGGATGAAAGGTTTCTATCTTCAAATTCCGTATTAACGTAATTTTATACATCTTAATAATAATTTTTAAATATTTAATTTAGTATTTTACTAATCCAATTACTATCCTTTACAATTTCCTATAAACTTTAGTCGGCTTATAGAATATTAAAGCTCCGTATATAATAGTACTACGAATATATTTAGTATATATTTCCTTTACCTAAATAAAAGAATAACTTTATATTTTCGCCGCTAATTTTATAAATATATTCGCTTAGGTCTTTATTTTTTATTTTACTACTTCCGTATAAATTTTATAATTAAATTTATAGTTTAGCTAGACCTTTAGGAATTTTGTGGATTTTATTAGTTGAAGTACTATATTTTTGAATTAGAGAGTTTCCATTTTTAGTACCTTTATCCGTATGAAATATATTAGCTCCGTCTTATTCGCTTTAAATTCTATACTTTTCGCTCTTACCTATCCCGAATATATTTCCTATATTATTTATAAAGTTTAGTAATTTTCTTTTCTAGTATATATTATTATAACGATATTAATATTGTTTATAAAGCTATTTATAATTATATTTATAATTATAACTAATTTTTAGTATAGTAGGGTAATAAAGAGAATAAATAAAATAGGAGAGAGGAGGGAGTTTTAAGGTATATTTATAATAATAGTATAGGGGTAGAATATTTTATTATTGAAAAAAAGGGAACTTTTTCTACCGGCGATAAAATTAATTACTTATTTAATAATCTACATTAGGAGTTATATTTCCTATAGGGTATATAGTAATTATTTATAATTAATTTTATCGAATATTCCCTTTAAATTGAGGAATATAAGGGACATTACGGCCCCGAGCTTTTAAATTGTATATATTATATTAGCAATTATCCGGATTATAAATTTTATTAAACGGCTTATCCAATTACTTATTTAACCCTCCGGCAAGAAATTGAACTCTTCAGCTATTTACATTAATCTTTTAATTATAAATACTTTAAAGATTTTTCCAACGTTATTGAGTAGCAATATAGGCCTCTATACGTCCGCTAGCCTTTATTAGGCAGCGTTTTTTCTAGATTTTTTAAAAATAATTACTTTCGTATCTTTAAACCGCTATAGGAAATGCCTAAGTCGGAGGCTAGCGGATATAAGATACGCTATAACCTATTAAAATAATTATTTACATAATTTTAGAAATTTATTTAAATATTAATTAACCCTAGGGGTTTTATTAAGCGCTATCCGGGAAAATACATCCTAAATATCCTTTTCAGTAATTAATTTATTAATAATTATTGAGTTAATATCTTTTAATAGCTTAATTTAGTCCGGTAAATAGTCCGTAGGGACGTCTACCTTCGGGAAAAAACAGTCGGTAAGAATCTCGGCCTTATTATTATAGTTTCTACCTTCCATTGCTCCTTTATAAATTTAAAAGGTTAGTAATTTAGGCGGATTTATTCGTCGATAATTTCGGGTCCGGGCCTACCTTTTTAATAGTTAAAATTAATTTAGGTTCTTTAAAACTTTTATAATACCCTCGCACTATATAACCTACTATATTTTTACTATTATTTTTTTTCCTTATTATAATTTTAATAAAATTCTTTTAATTCGGTATTATCTAGTATTCGAACTATATTTAATATATCTACCGCGCTTCCTTTATTACTATTTTATATTTTAATATTTATTAATTTACTTTTTTCCTTTAACCTTTCTTCCGGTATAGGACGAATTTTTCTATAATATTTGTAAATTCCGTTTCGAATTTATAAAAGACGAATTTGATATCTTTTATTATATTGATCTTTTCTAGGACCGAGATCTATTTCTCCGCCGCCTCCTTTATTTTGATTATATTTATAAAATTCTAATTATATCCTTCTTTTTTTTCTACTTTTCTATTCCTTCTTCCTGATTAGACCTAAACTTCTTGAGGGCAATAGTCCGAACCGGTTTATTTATACTACTACGTTCCCTAATATTCAATTTCGACGTTAAGTAATAATTATATATAATTAATTATCCTATCCCTTTTTCCTCATATTATATTCCTAAATTTCGTCGGTTCGTTATAGGGGGTAAATAGATTGAGTCTTTAGTGTTGTACCTACGTAAGGAGGCGAATAGCCTCTAAATTAGTTTTATTTTTTAAATTCTAATTAGGATAGTAGAAGTTAAAATTTTTAATTATAATTTAATTTCCTACTAAGGGGCCGGTTTCAAAGAATTTAAAAAGCGGTAACCCTTATTAGTACTCTAATATTCTTTATATTAAAATAGGAGAATAGATAGAATAAATAGTCGTTAAGTCTTTCCGGTTCTTAAATATTATTACGGCCTAATTTTTCCTGGATTAGAAATTTAGGTCTTTTAATTCCCACTTTCTATTTATATATATTACTACCCTTTCCCCCTTTAAATAATCAACCCCGAAATACCTTCTATTTCTCGGACGGTAGATATTCTTATTTAAATTTCTATTCGGTTCTTAAATTATTATAATATTATAAATCTCCTCTTATTCGAATATAAGTTTTCTTTTTTTATATAACTTCCCTATATTTTAATAGAATATTTTTAATTAAATTACTAATTACTTTAAAATAGGATTCCTTTTAGTTTCGTAGTGGAGGATAAGGGTATTATTTCCTTAGGGGGGGTTATAATTATATAGAAACTATTATTACTATGCGTTTAATTCCCCCCAATATTCTATAAATATAAATAGTAGGTATTAATTAAGTTTTATAGGGTTAAGGGTTTTAGTCGGGAGGTTTAATTAATAATCTTCCTTAGCCGTCCTCTCTTTATACTTCCTACCAATTATCTTTCTAAGGTAGTAATAATATAGGAGTTAGGGGGAGCGTCCGGTAGGATACCTTCGTCTATAAATTCTATTATTAATTCTAATACCTTCCTAATAGGGTTCTTATGGGGGGCGAACGCCCGCGGCCTTTTAGTATACGCAACGGACGCCTTTGTAATAGCCTTCCGAAGAATAGGGCATTCTTTATAATTATAAGTAAAATATCCCTTTTTCTTATACGGTTTATAATAGATAATTGATTAATTTTTATTAAATAGGTAATTTATTTTACTAAAGTAATTTCCTTTATATTTAGCCTTATTATATTGGGCGTAAATATTTTCCTAGTAATAGAACCTTATTATATATCCGATTCCTTAATATTTATAGTATTATTAAATATTATTCGAAGTTTAGAATGGTTCGTACGGGTATACGCCGCCGTCCTAGAGGAAGAGGTTGTTTTAAAGGAAGTATATTATTAATATAGTAGTAATTTCTATAAAGAGTAGACCCTTATTTTCTCTATCCCTTTTCTTTCATAGCCGAATTTTAATAATAACTACCTTTATATTTCCTTCCTTCGCTATTTTTATTAAGGTTTCTACTATAGTATAATTATTAATATTAACTTAGGGTACGTTTTAAATTAGTACGCTTATAGTATTTATAGTAATAAAAGTATCCGGACTAAAAATTTCTTTAGTTTATATTTAATTCTACTAGTATTAATTATGCGTAGATTTATCGAATATAATTATATAATTTTTAATTATTAATATTCTGATAGCTGCGCGGATTATTAGGCTAGCTTTCTTCTTATTTAAATTTGTAGTTAGGGTTATCTTCGTATCTTTATTTAAACAGTTTATAAATCCGACGGTAATTATCGCTCCCTTAATTGTAAATTACTATTTAAAGTTAAAAGGGGTAAATTTTTTAATAATAGTAGTAGGTAATTTTCAGAAGGTAGTACCAATTTTATTCGGAACGGCTTTCGCTATAATATTAGCCTAGCGCTTCGGTACCTCCTAAGCGCCTTTTTTAATTTCCTTTAAAATATTTTTCTTTAGGTTGTTAAAATCCTTTTTAGTAATAAACTAGTCAGTTCCAACTTTATTAACCTCGGGTTGCAAGGACACGCTTTTTTTAATATATATCTTTGTAAATTTGAAAAATAATTTTTAAATCTAATATCGGTCTTCGGTTGAAATAGTATCGTAGTCCGTAGATTTATTTATTCTAATAATAAATATCTTTAGTATTTTATTATCTTCTCCCGTTTTTTCCGAAATCTTCGCGGTGAGTACGGCTTTAGGATCGTTACACATTGAGATTTCCGCGAGCGGGTTGTGGATGCTGTTTTCGAACCTACGAGTACCGCTATTAATAGCTATCGGCAACGACGATACAACACCGTCGCTACGCTCGTTGTAAAACATTGTAAAGGATGTAAATAACCCTTCCCAATCGATTGCCATTATTAATTTTCGTTTTGGAGTACTCTTCGACTAGAAATCGGCGTTTCCGGTTCCGGCGTCGTAAGTTGGCGGTATAAGTTTATTATTATTATAGTAGTAGTATAGTTTAATTTATTAGTATATTAATTAATAGAACCTAATATAATAGGGATAGTATATTTAATATAGGTACTAGCCGTATAATTTAACTAAGGTTTTATAAAGGAGGAAAAATCTATTTGAAATACGGATCTATTAGCGTTAAGAGGTTTTTATTAAGGTTGCGCGCTCTATACTATGGTAGCTAGTAGCAATTCTAGTCTTGGAGATTAGAGTTTATAACCCGGGCGCTAGCCTTATAGTATATAGTATTTATAATCTTTTTAAGAGCCTAGGCGCTGATTTTATACTACCGGCAATTATATTTTCAAAGAGGCAGCTTGTCGAGATGAAACGGTACCTATAGGCGCACCGCCTTAAGCAAGTAGTATCTAAATGGCCTCATGGCGCAACGGTAGCGCGTTCGACTCCAGATCGAAAGGTTATCCGTTCAAATCGGGTTGGGGTCATCTTGTTTTTCTTCTTACTGCACATAACGTTTTATGTAGTGAACTGAGAAAGTTTCAAGTAATATCTTTTTTGGGTTCCGCACATGGGGTCTGTGTGAGGCCGGCCAGGCCTGCTAAAAATGTTGACATTAAGACGGACCGTTCCGTGTTCTGAGTCTGGGCTCGTCCACCTTGTATCAGCTTATATCCTGCACTAATCCACCTTTCTTCAGGCCTGGTCTTCTTGTGTCTTCTGTCTCGGTATTCGTGCTTCCTTTAATGCTCGTTTCAGGTACAGCACGTGCGTGCGCTTCCAGTTCGCTTGAGGTTTTGAGAATGACATCATCCCACCTATGATAGTATCAGAACCACGTACCGAGAGGAGCGTCTAATAATAGCGCGGAGAAGGAAGCTACAGAGAAGGAAACAGGTTAATAAGACAAGGTTGAAATCCCAAATGTTCTTATAAAGGCTGACCGGCTCTGTAGGTGCAAGTGTTCGGGGTTGATTTTTGTCAACAACGAGTTAAAGTGCTTATCAGCTAGCAATACGTAATTCCCAAGTCTCTTCCTCGCATTTGTCGAATCAGGTGGTTCCCAACCACTTGCTAACCTTCGACAACTGGGCACGAAACGAATCTGAAGCATGCTGGAACCCCAAAAGTTGCGTACGCCCCTGCATGAAAAGTGCTAATGAGTATCTGGAGAGCCTTGTTCGTATGCCGTCAATGCTGCCTCTGAAACAGGGTGACGGCGGTAGGGTAAGGTACCTTAACGTGTCATCACACCCGGGCGCACCGGGTGCAGCCTAACTTTGTTCGTGGAGGTTGTACACTGTTTGTATTTCAGGTTTCGACGTCCCGGCATCACAAGGGGAGGCCCCCCGACCGTGTCAGGCCAAAAAAGCACCAGGCAACGCAACGTGCAAGGCGTCATGCGCTCCAAGGGGGGAGGGGCACTAGAAATGCCACTAGCAGCCCTAGCTGTGTTGAACGGCGATCTTCCATCATGGTGCAGTCCAAGAACCATTGACTAGTCTAGTCGATCGAGCAGCGAGTCTATAAGACCTCCATCATCGCCATGTTCTGGTCTCCAGCCTGTTGACCCGGTTTGCTTCTCATGCGCTCAACCAAACTCCTCCCGCCAAGGCCTCAACCACCTTACTTCAGCCGCTTTTCATCATGTCGCTTCCGTCCACATACCGCCGCTCCGAGTCAAGCATGCTCGAGCATCAAACTTGGTGCAATCGAGGGTTCGAGCCTACCGAGACGTCCCTCGCCAACATGGTGAAAGCCCAAGGTCTTGTCCAAAAGTTCAAGGTTACCCATCTGCTCTCATATCTTGGGCGGCTCAATCCCATACCGATTGGCGTGTCGAGAACCGACGCGGTCTGGCTCTTCGATAATATCGCCTTTCGCGGCCCCAACGGTTCATGGCAGGCAGAGTTCGTGACTGCTGTTTTCGACGCGCGTATATCAACCAAGTTTGTTGAGGCTGTAGGCGACATCGCCGAAAAAGTGGGTCTCTCCAAGGGCGACAAGCAGGAGAAGACGATTGAGCAGCGCATTACTCCTTTTCTCATGGAGGTTCTGCCTGGGAGACGGGTCGATATCAAGTTCGGCGAGTCTACCGAGTTGCGGCTGGGTCCTGGAGGCAGGAACGGGATCAGCAGTGAGCTGAAGAAGCTCCCCGACTCAAGTGCCGGAAGTGTGTCAAAGTCAGTGGCCGAAGTCCCATCTGGCGCAGGAGGATTGTTGGAAATGACAACCTTTTATACAGAGCCCGAGGGTTGGGCCGTTATCTCTGGTATGCTTGTGATCTCCGACCCGTCACTCAAACGAGAGACAGTTCTTTCCCTCTGCGCAAAATGCCCAGTGTTTGCTTCTAACACTGGACCCCCCAAAACAGATGTTGATGACACTATCAAGATCACGCAAACGAGTGATCCTGTGGGAATCCTACGGTCCACATTTGTGGTAAGTTTAGCGCTCTCTGCGTCCATCGCAATCGTCTAGTTCAATGATGGTGCTCAGATATTGACGGCATGTTCCTCGTTGTCTAGGCAGAGCCAACACCAATTGCAGGCATGCCAGAGCTATACTGGAAAATTAAGGACATAGTGACGCCGTCTGCACCGTGGTTCTACCTGTCGGCATCGCCATACAACCTCTACCCCTTCCTTCGGGATTTCACTCACCGTTACTATCCCCGGGGCCAGCTGATCTTGCGAGATGCCAGTTGGATGACCATTCCAGGGTTGCTCTCCAATCTCACGCTTGGAACCCAAAGGTACAAGGTCGATCGCATGAAGAAGCTGTACGAGTGGCTGCCAAAGAAGAAAATGATCTGTATAGGCGATTCAACGCAAAGCGACCCCGAAGCATATGGTGAGTTGATGATACAGTGAACTGTACCGGAAAACCCACTGGCTGACACTTGAAATCATGTCTATAGGCGAGATGTATAGGAAGCATCCAGAGTGGATCAAGCTGATTCTCATCCGGAAAGTTGCCGATATTGCGGCTATCGGTACGGAAGCTAAGAATGCTGCCAAGCGGTTCGAGGACGCGTTTAAGGGTGTCCCAAGGTATGTGCGACTCTTACGGCTGGGGCCCCCTTTGAGTACTGATTCTGACCTTGCGATACTTGCAGAGAGGTGTGGCATGTGTTTGAGGATCCTGCCGAGTGCCGTGAGCAGGTCCAGAGAGTGGTCGGCTAAGGTAAGAAAAAAAAAGAAGGAAAAAAAGCTTACGGCACCCGTTCTCATCATGATCTTTCCTCGGACGAGTGTCAGTTGCGTCTGATCACGGCGGTATGCAAGGTCCAATTCTCATACTTTGGTTCGTGTGTTTTGGTCGTGTGCAATTCGTGCGAGACCTGCTGTGATACCTGCCTTGTTGATCTCGCAAGATCTACTCTAGAGGTGGTAGGTACGCTGAGGGCTCGAGGCCATCTCTACTGGACATGGGATCTGAAAGGCGGATATGGCCTTTCCTTTGATGTAGTTAGCTTGCTTGGACGTTATGACTTATAATGAATGAGACGGATACCTATCTTTTGTTCAACAGCCTTTCTGTCGATGATCGATTCCTTCGATTGATGTTGACGCGGCGTAAGTACCTTGCTGGCTACCTAGGTACGTACCGCATGGCCCCGGACGAGTGCGGGGAAATGCAAGCTTACCCCCATGTCTCTGTGTTGTCCGTACCTGCCTCCGCCCGAAAGCAGTCTCTCGGTCTTCGTATTTACGTCAGTGATTTATTAATCCGAATGGTTCGCATCATTACCCGTCCCCTCTTATCCGTGGGACACTGTACACAACTGGTCCAGCTGAGAGCTGTTACACCTGTTCCTTTTCCGCTTCCGATATCTTTAGCTTCACTTCCACTGCTGCCATTTCCTTCACGTCGTGCTCTGTTTAGCACCACTACAATTGCTCCTACTTCGTCGTCCACAGCTGAAAGGGTCAAGATGTCGTCCGAAGGTGCAGCAGCAAAGCGACAGAGGTCCAACAAGGATGTGCCCTACAACCTCATCTACTGGCCAGGAATTCCCGGCCGCGGAGAGTTCATCCGGCTTACCCTCGAGGAAGCCGGTGCTGAGTACATCGACACGGCCCAGGTCGAGGGAGGCATCGACGAGGTGATGGCTTATGTTAAGGGCGAGAAACCCGACGACGATACCAACCCTCCCATCTTTGCGCCGCCCATTCTCAAGCACGGTGACCTTGTCATCAGCCAGACGCCCAATATTTTGCTGTATCTAGGCCCGCGATTGGGTCTCGTACCCGGTGTTGAGGACGATCCGGATGCTCTGTACAAGGTCAATGAGCTGGCACTTACGGCGCTGGATGGATTGAGCAACGAGCCGCACGACTGCCATCACCCTATTGCGTCGGAGCTGTATTACGAGGACCAAAAGGAAGAGGCCAAACGGAAGGTCGAGCATTACGTCAAGACACGGTTACCCAAGTTTCTCGGTTACTTCGAAAGAGTCCTCAACTCCAAGGCCAGCGGTGAGGGCCCTTACCTCTACGCAGGCAAGCTGTCATATGCGGACTTGGTCCTATTCCAGGTAAGTTGCGCGCCTTGCTTGGCACAAATTGCTCTTCATATTATGGCTAACTTGAGGCAGTGTCTGGATGGCCTCAAGTTCATGTTCCCCAAGGCTATGTCGAAGTTGAACAAGGAGGGTAAACATTTGAAGCTATTTGAGCTGTACGATGCTGTCGGGCAAAGACCCAAGATCAAGGAATACCTTGGGGGTCCTCGTCGGCAGAAGTACAGCAGTGGCCTCTATCGTTACTATGAGGAGTTTGACATTGAAGGCTGAGCATGCAAGACAAGTGATCACTGCTGGCCGTGGGTATAACTTACGGCTTGGATTTGTCTATCAAGCCGTCTACTTGATGATGGAGCCTGTGGATCTAGGACGAATAGATGCGAGGCAATGTGCTGATGTTCATGTTGACTCAAGGTTTTCCCCGAACAACTATCTATGTTATCTGGTCGAACCATTCCTACATGGGCTGGGTAGTCCATGCGGCATCTGGGTTATAATGATGACTTTCGTTCCCAGAAGCGATCCTCCTAAGCATGAAACTCTGAGTCGGGCGAGTTCCGTCGTGTTTTGTTGACTGGGCTCTACTCCCAGCTCTTACTGATGACTATCCCCGTGGGTGGAGATGTTAGTGAGGAGATGAGCATCTCACATGTTGTATGATGCTATACCATTAGAACGGCCAATAAGTTCTAACGGATGCAACAGATGCATACCTGGGACCAAATTCTCACCTTTACCTCGGGCGTCGGCCCCGCCCAGGTTGAAAGCAAGGAATAGACGGTCAAAGCAGGCGATATGGTAATTGTACCAGCAGGGGCAAAGCATCAGTTCCTCAGTCAGGGACCGACGCCCTTGATTTTCTATATTGCCTACCTACTCACCGGCCGAGCATAAGCCGACATCAGTACATGAGGCCCGGGAGGAGGGCGAGAAGGAGGAAGAAGAAGATAGGTATTCGTGCGGAGCCAAAGAAGCAGGTAGCACAGCATTGGGGAAGGATGGGAGAAGGCCGAGGAGTAAGTTGAGGAGCAGTTGAAGGCGACTTGTCGAAATATGAGTTGCTTCATTTCACCCTACTCACATTTAGGTTTTCAACATTCTTTTCTGCGCCATGAAGCAATGCCTGCTCCTTGCAAAACGATTTTGCACGCAGGATCTCATTCGGCTACACATAGGTAACCTCGACACTTTTTCTGTGTAGCTGGATTTGCTTCCTGTTCTCCCTCTTTTTTTTTTTTTTTCTTTTTTTCTTTTTTTCTTTCTTTTTCTTTCGCTGCCACCCACTTCTCGTTCTTGCAGTTGTTTTGCTTCACATCTACGCTTTTTCACTGGCTCGCCTCGCGGGTTTTCCAAAAGCTTGAACGGGTGTTTACTTCTCGATGTTACCTCTCGTTGGTTCCCCTGTTTCTTTTGCTAATCACATGGTCTACTCCACGAGCAGGTACTCAAGTCGTGCCATAAGCTACCAAGTACTGTGTTCATACTAATCCATAAATATCACGGAGCTGTGGGGGGCGTTGCATGGACTGCGATATCCTCAGGGCGTTGTTATGCTCTTGCTTCCCTTTTCATGGCTTCAAGGTTTCAACTGCAACGCCGGGGGATTAAATGCCGCACCACTTTTGCTTGATGTGACCCCATGAGTCGAACATCTTTCCACCAGTAGGAACACAAATTCCGTCCCCTGGAACTCTGAATGATACCCAGCGAGAAAACTTATAATAGCAAAAGTTTCCCTCGCTCATGGGCAACATGGAGGCCATGCTTATCATAACCTCCATCTCCTTCTTCTCTCACCCGACCCTGCCACGTCCAGGTCTCGAGTCATCAAGACAAGATGCAGCTTCTAGCCATCGTTTTTCTCCCCGTTGTTTTATTCGCCACTCAGGCTGCTGCCGCAACATGGTATTTCCTGCGCTATAACACCCCCTCCGGAGCCAAGTTCACTGCGTTCAGTGGACAAATGGTCGTCCCAACTCTTCCCAAAGCGGCAGTCTACTATCTTTGGCCGGGCCTACAACCGACCGACAACAGCGGAGTTTACCAGAATGTGCTTGACGGACGAAGCGGCACTTGGTGGTTTGGATCTGGATGGTGCTGTTCAAACCCTTCGCTACCGTGGGGAGGCGGGTTCAACACGTATGCGGGAGAGACGATCAGCTTCTCGAATGTGTTGAACAGTGATGGGAGCGGATGGACTACGACGACGAAAAGGGGCACCACTGGCTCGCCCGTAACCAACACTTTTGCTCTTGGTGAGTCTAGGAGGGAAAGCCTACTCTGAGTCAAAGGCAGAATGATGGTCGAGCAGGCTGTAAGTGCTGATACTCTTGACTTTTATGATAGCTGGCAAATCTTTCAACCAAGCTATTTTTGCCATTGAACTGTAAGTCTTGTGTGTAGCAAATTCGTATAAAGGAAATTGAAGTCGTAATTTAAGGTACTAATCTTTCCAAAGTTACGATGTGGCATGGAATTTTGGGCCCTTGACATTCAAAAACGTCAAAATTGTAAGTACCATTTTGAGCGGCGGAATCGTGGACTTTCACTCTCAACAGAAAGGCTTGTTTTAAGTGCTAATTTACCGTAATACCCGACCGACAGGTTGCGACGGGAAGCACGAGCACGGCGTGGTGCACGGGAAAGCCAGCAAACTATAACTCGGCCACGAAGTATACCATTTCCGGAGCGAGGGCATCAGTGAGCGGCACGACTGTCACTTGCACCATTGACTCGGTGGTTTTGCAAGGCCCTGCATGATAGCAAAGGATGACGTTCGTTCTCGAATTCGAATATTGTTTGCCCCTTGACAGCCTCACTCAGTCTTCACTCAGGTGAAAGGCCTGGCCTGATAGCAGGAAGTGGGAACGTCTACATCATGAACATTCATTTATTCATGCTACAGTACATGGGTACTTCTGCCTACATTCTTCCACATTGCAGCAAGAAACCTCCCTCATCAATCATACCTAGAAGGTAATCATCGGCCGTTAGTTATAATACATTTGTTCACTATACCACCAGTACCCTTTAGAGAACAGCTGTGCAGGACTGGGTCAATGGGATGTTGACATCCACGCTCTTCTTCTCCAAGGCGCCGACGACGGTGATGTTGGTGATCTTCACATCCGTTTTGAATCCAAAGTCGCCATTGACAGTCAGAACACCCAAGGCATACTTAAACTTGATGTTCGTCACACCCTGTTGCTCCAAGCTGACTCCATCATCAAGGTAAAGCTCACCCTCGGCAGTAAGGTCTTTCCCGACCGCGATGATGAGCTCAAAGTCCTGCTTGCGAAGTTCGGTGGTGGTCATGGCAGACTTGGCCCTAAGAGGAACGATGACGCCACCGCGGAGGTAGAGCGGGATGTCAGTCAAGCTCTGATCCTTGACAGTGACGGTCCTGCCCTTGCCATGGACGACGTCAAGGGTGTACCAATCGTAAAAAATGTCGTTAGGAAGGTAGACATCAACGCTGGTCGAGTTCTCCTCAGTGACGGGGGCTACAAGGAGACCGGGACCGTAGAAGTACTGATGCTGGAGGCCAAAGGTGTTCGCGTCATTGGGATAGAGGTAGAACATTGGGTTAATCATGGGGGTACCATCAACGGACTGCTTGTATTGGGCAGTGTAGATGTAATCGAGCAGGCGATAGCGGATATCGATGGCCTTGCGGGCGGCCTCAGCCACGATCTCCCAACGGTAAAACTCCTGGCTGATGGAAGGTAGGTACTCGTTGTGGTTACGGTAGAAGGGGGAGAAGGCACCCAGCATGGCCCAACGAGCGCAGAGCGACTCGGTTGTGTTCCCGCCGAATCCGCAGACATCAGCGCCCACCATGGGGATCTGGTAGATGGAAGCAAACGCCATCATTCCGTAAATGCTTTCACGGTAGTGTTGCCAGTCAGCAATGTTGTCACCGAGCCACTTGCCAACCGAGTGGCCGGCGCCAGCAAAAGTGGAGCGGGTGATGATGAAGGGGCGGAGGCCAGGGCGGCGGGCAAGCATAGCCCCGCGGGACTGGATCGACATCATGGTGCCGTAAAGGTTGTGAACATCATATTCAGCCAGGCCATTCTGGTGGATGGTATCGGTGTTCACAGTCTTGTTGGAGAGACCACCCTTGTCGGCGTTCCATGAATCCATATAAGCAGCCTTATTGTGAATTGAATACCTGGGGAAGAGGAGGTCACGGCCAGGGAGACCAAGCTGCTTGCCGGCAGTAATGCTAGCTTCCACAGTCTCCTCGCGCTTGGCAATAAGAACGTCACTCTTGACAGGAGCCTCAATGGTCAAGTCTTTCTTCTCCTTGCATTCAGTTCCCTCGGGCTGGAAGACGCAAGGCCATCCAGGGAGCTCCCGGGGAGGTGTCCTTACGGCAGGAGGCTCAGGCGGGTAGCCGATGGCGGATTTCTCGGGGTCATTGCAAGGGAAGAAGCAAGGAAAGTTGGAGGGCTCGTTCATGTCAATCCAGAGACCATCAATGTTGATACCAGAGCTCGCAGAGAAGAATTCAGTGAACTGGCTGTCCCAGTACCTGGATATGTTGGCCGAGAACCAGTCGGGGAAGACTGAGACACCAGGCCACACGACACCTTTGTAGATGGAGCTATCATTACGCTTGAGGAAGACGTTTTCTTCAATGCCTTTCGTCAAAGCAGGGTTTTCAGGCCCCTCTGCCGCCGACACGGCAGGGTCGACCATGACAATATACTTCTGTTCGTTCTCGTGAAGGTGGCCGATCAACTGCCTCATTGCCGAGAGGGGGAAACGCTGAGGATCCAGAGTAAAGACCCTTCTGCGGTCCATGTAGTCGATATCGGTCCACATAGTTTCAAGCGGGATGCTGGCCTTGCTGTAATTATAGACCACCTCAGCAACCTCGAAGGCATCCTGGTAGCCGTAACGGCACTGGTGTAAGCCGAAACCCCAGTATGGCATCATGGCAGGGAGCTTGGTGATCTCGGCATATTGCTTAGCAACCTCAATCGGGCTAGGGCCAGCAACGAAGTAGAAGTCAACGACACCCCCAAGGGAGTTGTACTCGAGGTATTGACCGGAGCGGCTGTCCTTGTCAATGACGACGTCCATACCATTGGAGTTGAGGAACAAGACACCGTGGCTGCCACTCTTGCGGTGCTCGTAATAGACCGGGTGATTGCCGTAAAGGTTCGCTCCGTTGGGGGTGGAGTAGGCATCCTGAGACCAGAAAGTCCGGATGTAGTTGGTGGTGTTGAGGCGGAAAGAGTCCGAGTGCTCACCAAGACCGTAGAGGTTTGGGTTGTTGGGCAGCTTGGTACGAAGACGCAGGTACTGGGACTCGAAAACCAGGGAAGCGACTGAAGTATCGAAGAGGACCTCACCCGTCTTGGCGCGAGTGACGGCGAAGGAGAAAGGGCTGGTCTTGTAGGTGAACTTCAGGGCGGACTTCTTGGAGTTCGCACCCTGGGCTGCCTGCGGGCGAGGGAAGATAGATTCAGGGATCTGATATACATCGTTCGCGGCATCTTGGATCTTGACGTGCAGGCGGTTGTCTAACGCACGAATTTTCCTTGTTAGCGCCTCCCACCCGTTTAGTTCTTCATTTAGTTATTGTCTTAGTCAACTCACCCGTCTCGTATGTCACCTCAAGGACGAGGTTATCCAGGTCAGTGCCGTAGGTATTGCATGCCTTCCCGGCAAGCTTGAGCTCCGCCGTCAAGCCATTGGCGTTCGTCTTGACGTTCGTAGCCTCGTAGCCGGGACACTTGGCCAACGGGTCGTTGTTGATGGCGCGAATGGCCTGTGGAAGGGCGGCAGAGCAGAGTGAAGCCAGCAGCCCGAGGGCCGCGAGACGAGATCCCGCAAGCATCCTGTAATGTCCGGCTGCTTGACGCTTGGTGTCACAAACACACAAGGGAGAGAGACTGCGATCTGGAGAGATGTTACTCTGAATCTCCCCTCACACAAGAACCACGGAAGGCAGCATGCTCTTACTTATACCAATTCCATCTAGACCAGGCGCATCGTCACCGAGCAGGGGGTTCTTGAGCAAGTAACACCATCACTTTCCCGACCCGGCAAATCAGGAAAGGATCGGCCAGTATGTACCGATAGTCCATTGGAAGCTGCAAGTTGGGGAACCTGGGGAATCCGAGGGCAACGCAAGGAACCATTCCGGATGCCGTCTTGGAAGCCATTATAGACCTAGAGAACCTTGGATTGCCATGCCGAAGATTCTCAATCCGTACCATTTCTCCGCATTCAATCATACGCTACTCCGTCATGGGGCTTTCGCTAACATAAAACACCAACTCCCAGACCGCAAAGGTTTGTGGCGTGTCGAATCCCACGATAGATCCCGAGCCGACCTTGTGTCGGCATCATGTCGGTCTTGCAAAGGCTCTGAGCGGGCCCATTGCTACGACCAAGCACGACTAGTTGGGAGGTGGTGAAGAAAGCATCAGTTAGGCGAAGCACAGGCGGTCAATATGTGAATATGAAGTCGGGGTAAACTCTGATCACTTGCCTTTTTCTATGCGCATGTTGCTCTCTGGCCGGCCGGTGAGTTTGCTTTCTCCAATTTCACCAATGCCCTAGTCCCCCAGTTTTGCCTTCCCCATCCCCCGCTATCTCCTTGCTCTTCTCCGCACATGTAGATTTTTCCGGGGAAAAGAAGGCCAAACCCCATCAAGACGGTTGGGCGGTAGCATCCCAGGTGGGACTAATGGCTGACCCATGTTCCTCAGGAAAGGCCCGAATGTTGGATGAGAAATTATTCAAGGTGTTGGATGACGGTCGGAGTTGGAGCCTGTAAGCTTGGATCTGATCGGGCTAAACTCCGACCGTGGTTGCGGGGATTGCTAGAAAGCTGGTTGAGGTCCGGATACCGAGATTTAGATCAACAACACCAAGCCCATACGTAGTCAATTCGGCACTCAAGGATAAACTTATCCAGCCTTTTTGGAACCCAGCTCGTGGCCGCTGAAGAACATGAAAACGACATCTGAGGTGGTCAAACGGACGGTAGACGGCTTGGTATCCCAAATCAGCAGGTGGTAAATCTCTCGCTCGGGGCACCTTTGTAACTACCCGCACATTAGTCAGTTCATTCTCTTGTGGGTCACTTTATCAAGTCAACCGATACCTGGCGTAAAGCGATTAAATCTTTTACAAGCTGCCTTTTGCAGAAGCCATGTCATCTGTTCCCTTGGGCTTATCACCCTTGCAGGGATACACAAACCATACGGCCGCGGGCGATGAACAATACCAGGCAACTTCTGTTGACCTCATGCTGGAAGTTGAACTCCGCTGCAGCCTAGACAATGATAACTCCAGCAACTCTCTGATTATGCTTATACTGTACCCATATGCGCCGCCATGCTTCTTTTTCCTGTGGCCCAATGAATGCCATGATCCCGGAAATAACAATAAGAAAACAACATAGTACGAAATGACTTTGGTTCAAATCCTCCCACGATCAGTCGACATCCATACCGTCCGAATCCGGCGCCGATAACGCCACGGTGATTGATGGATCCTCATCCTCTTTCTTCGTACTTTCGGCAGCAGTGGACGTTTGATTCGCGTTTCTATCGGCGGGCATAGCTGATCCATTTTGCGGACAGAGCCTATACGTGTCGTCCTCGATCCGTTCAATGATCCCTTCATCAAGCGCCCATTGTGCTAGCAGGGGATCCACACCCATGCGATCAGCCTCTCCCTTTTCCATATGTCGACCGACATGTTCTGTCCATTCATCCCATGACCCGGCGCCCTCAAAAACGCTCTTACAGTCGGGTTTGGGACAAGACGACCGTTGAGGGGGTTGCCTGCGCGTTACTAGACATGATGCTTGCATTTCCTTCACATGCGCCTCCCACTCAGCGAGAAGTCCTGCCTCCGGCTTGCTACCGGGCTTCTTGAGGATCGGCGGCGCATGCATTCGTCGCAGGTGCTGCGTAAACAAATCTTTGCGGTTGAACTCATTACCTTTGCCATCGGCGCTGCTTTGAGGACATGCCGAGCACCGATAATATTGCAGGCACAGGTGCTGAGAGGCTATGTGACGCTTCCACTCATTCTTGGACCCGAACGTGCTTGCACACCCGGCGAAGGAGAAAGCACACGGGAACGGCCGCGTGTGAGCAGCTGCGATATGCTTGCGGAGCGAAGACGAGTCCTTGAATGGCGCATGGCTACAGTGGCTACACCGCGTCTCTTGCTTCGACACTTGTTTTTGAAGCGGCCTCCTCCCTGTTGTAATCCTTGGGCTTTCACTGGGAATCTTGCCGTTGACCCCTCCAATCTTGGCACGAGGGGTGCTATAGGGGACACCGCCGTGGTGAATCTCATCCATAACGGCGTCATTCACTTCGGAGGCATCGGGTTCTTCAGGATGCCTAACTGCAATGCTATCTCCCACCCTGTTGCTTTGCGCGTGGAGATCGCTCAGCATCTTCAACTGTTCTGCCGCTTCTTTCATCTCGTCGGAATCTTCTGCGTCGTCCTTGGCCTTGGGACCGGGGGTCTGAACTGGAGGGCCAGGAGTGACGGGAACAGCCCCGTTGGGTGTGGGAAGCGGGACCCGGTGCTCCTGCCGTGGTTGGTTCTCCTGTGTAAGGGAAGAATAATGGCTCGTGTGGTCTCGCCGGTTCAGAGACGGGCTAACTGCAGCAGCCTCTCGTGCTTCTAGCAAAATGCGGCCATCCTCGAAGTCCTTGGTCATTGGTTGGCCGTTCGCAGCAGACTTGACGAGTCGCTGGTACAGATGAATCATGTTGTGCGAACTGATATATCCCAAGAAGCAGCAGACCTTGTCGTGCTGGACAATGTTCCATACCGAGAGCGGCATCGATATCAAGAGCATAGTAGGAGGCCCGAGGAACATGCCCTCCACCGTGATTTTGGAGGCAACGGACGGAGGATTATGGAGCCACTGGTGGAAGAAGCCCATATCTGCGCTCGCATCTCCCACGAATGTGGTACACACTAACACTCTACTGCTCTCCTCGAAAGTAAGGTCAGCCACTTCTGTGGCGCTGAGCGGCTGGTCATCCCGAGTCGACCTCCAGGCGTCCCCATCCACGTCAGCAGATTGGGGAGGCGACTGCAGCTGTGCAACTTCTTTCTTCAAGGGCCCAAACACAATATCGCGTCCTTTGGCAGGAGTCAAGGTGAAGGATACAGGGACTCTCTCGGGCGGAGCTAACTTGGCTGTTCCGTTGACCATCTTGGCAATGGCTTGGGCGCTCTCGTGTTGCCGCAGTGTTATTATCTCATCGAGCAGCTTCTGAACGCTGAAGGGACGCCCACTGGCAAGCTTGGCAAGAGCATCAGCCAAGGTAGCCGTGAAAGAGCGGGGACCGGCCTCTCTTGAGCTCTGTTCTGGCGTGTGCGCGGCAATGGCCTGTTTGGTACCGTGACTCCCAGCGGGAGGCGAATCCTTGATGGCACAGGTGTCTAACAGGAGCAGGATCTCGGGCTGGGCGTCCTCGAACAGGCATCTAACACCGTCCCACTTGAGCTTGGCAGCATCGTCGCGAGCGTTACTGTACCCGTAATGTCAGCCTGGGAAACAGGGGCGATGCTGTAAGCAAAAGGGTCAACCTACCAAGCCCAATAAACGTGATTGTCTTGACCAACAAAACCATGGCCGGCGTAATAGACAATCAAGAGGTGATCAGGACCGGCGTTTTCCAAAAACGACGCCATCTGGTAGCTTAGCTTGATGCTGGGGTTCGGCACGGTAGGAATGACCCATTTCTCGGTGCCGTAGTTGTACCGATCCCGAAACACCTTTTCCAAGAGCAGCATGTCTGCCTCAACACTGAGGTCCTCCTCCCATCTCAGCATGAGTACGGATACGCTCCGGTGGGGAACAAGTTGCTCCTTAACCATCTTGATGTACATGGCAGCATCTTGGAGATGTCTCGCATAGGCCTCGAACTCTCCACGTTCGGTAAGCGGTGCGGACTGCGCAGCCTGCTGTGCAGGCGACACGAGTGGTTCGGCTGGCGGGAAGTGCTGCTGTGAAGAGGGAGATGATTAGCAGGGGAACGGTAGTGGAATCACAAGGCTACTAACCTGGTCCTGAGGGAAGGACTGTGCTGACGGCTGGCCCTGAGCCTGAACCTGAGCCTGGGCTTGGGGCTGAGGCTGAGGAGGACTTGTCGATGGAACGGCGGATTGAGCTGGGGCATCGGAAACCTTGGGAGCCAGTCTCCTCCGCTTCGATGGAGGGTCCATGTTGTCGTCAATGTAAGCCACTTGGAGGATCACACAATAAGCGGTGACGGCGGGATGGAGGTCGAGGACGAAGATTGCGCGTCCGGCCGGAGCAAGGAAGTAGCTAGCTACTACCTCTAGGTTGAAAGCAGTATCAATGCCGGTAGTGGGTGTAGTGAATGGATCAATCGAGGCCACAAAGGGCACGGCAGGCCTGACAGGACAAGGATAAAACAACAATTTGGCCGAAGGCGCGATTATAAGGCTGGACGAGGCCGCAACAAAGCCCAAGCAAGCCTTTACGAAGGCAACAGATGCGTCAAGGAGGCGGTCTTGGGGGCCTTAAACTGGTGGACACGACAGCCTAAACAGACAGAAACGTCTGGCTGATTGCAGCAAATGTGTTGTCGGGAGAGGACCGAATTACAATGGCCGCCAATCAACTCCGTAAGAAGACTGCGAAGTGTGAATTGACGGGATGGGTTGAGATATCCCATGCACAACTCGCACACAGGACGGACAGAGGAAGTAGAAGGGCAGGAAAGAGATGAAGGAAAGATGAGAGATAAGTTGGTTTAGATGGGCGAAATTCAGAGTCGGCGCTGTGTTGTTGTTGTCGTTACTGTATTGACCCTGTAGATGTGAGTCGTGCCATTCGGCGAAGGTCAGGTCAGCCACAAGATGGAAAAAGAAGCGGGGGAAGTGCAGGTTCAGTTGGGAAATCCGAGGTCAGGTTGTCTCGCCTCGATGACAGCCAAAAAAAATGAGGTGGTGAGGGCCCGGGAAGCAGAAGTGCAGCCAGGTCCCAGGTTGCCAGAGCCTCCGACTGTTAGGCAGCCAAGTACTCCCCGGTTGCCATACAGTGAAGTGAGGCTGTGGTGGTAAACTGAAGCTACCTGGAGGAGGAGCGACGAGGGACTGCAGCAGGATACTCGGCTTTGAATTAGCCTTGTGGCAGGGCGCGCAAGGTTCAAGGACCAATTGGATCTGTGACGGTTGATTGGCCAGATGGTGCAGCCAAAAGGCCCCCATTGCACGCACGCACCTATGCGGATGGAGCCAGACAAGACCTGCTGAGCGGGGCTGACAGCACCTGGAAGCCCACCGGGAAGCACCTATCGACAGTTATCGGCCACGGCCTCGTCCACTTGGAAGGCGTTTCTCCTCGACTGATTGGTGCACAAGCACCCTCTCTTGGGATCGCACCAGATGCGACCAGCCCCGCCCCTCGTAACCCCCAGTGGCCCATCCGTCCAATCCCGTCAAGGACCTGCCTATGTCACCGGTATCTGTCCTCTCCTCCTCGTTCGCTTACACGACCCTGCACTCCTCACTTGTTCTTGAACTTCGAATCAAGAGCGAGGTTCCATTCCGACCTTGTCTCTCTCTATCTATCCATTCCCGTTGAGCTGTCGAAAGCTTGATGAAAGTCGATAGGGACACAGCTTGAAAGATGACCGTCAAAATGTCGTTGACCATGGTGCCCTTGTTGAATAGACGATAGAATGCTGGGAAGAATGCTATGCACTAGCCTTCCGACGGGAGTTCAAGGCCGTGTCAGTTTCCATGCCTCTAAAACTGCAACCTGACCCATACCCAACTCTTTTTTTTTTTTTTTTTTTTTTTTTTTTTTGTTTATTTAACTTTGTGGTTTATCTTTGCCGTGTACCCAATGCGCCAGGCTTGGATTTTATCAGCTGCAGCGTTGCGGCCTCACCTACAGGTCGACAGGACTATGGATCGATGTATGGATGCTATTGCTTCACTCACCACTCTATTCCCTCGCCGTCTTTGCCTTGTCTATTTGTGCATTTTCTGCGCAGTCCCGTTCCCTGTTCCCGTTTCGCCTTGGATCGGGTAACAATTCAGGCGCACGTCAAGCACCTCCATGGCCAAGTCAGGTTCAGAACGCTCTTTTGAACTCAGTGACTTCCCTCGAGATTAAAAGAAACAACACAGAGAGGAAATGGGAGAGTTGCATGGGGATGCGTCTGTGCCCAACGAAAAACATTCCAACTGGTTCTGGGCCATTGCCGCCTGCTTACGCCCTGCCCATTCATTCATGCTTCCTCGTCCCCTTCACGAGGAGGGTTGGGCCAGAACTCATCAACAAACGAACGGCGGTGGGAACGGCAGACGAACAGACGGACGAACCAGACCTACTTGCAGCGACATGGCATCGACATGGCATGGCATGGGCACTACCACCAGCCCACGATCCAACGAGAAAACAAACGATTCGTCCGCCTCGTTCACCATCCAGCATGCTTTGTCGAATCAGAAGAGACAAGAGAGCCTCGGACCGCCCACTGCATGCATGACAAGGCCAAAGAAAGCTGCCAGCACCGCACCGCCTGGGCGCCGCGCGGGCACCTTCTCAGTCGAGAGATCGAGAGATCGAGAGACCATGCCAACCTCGCCAACCTCCCGGATCCCTACCAAGCATTTCTCAAGCCCTCGGCTTCCCCCAAAGGCTCTTGCCCTTTTTCGGCGTGTACATCAGCCTTCTGCAGCTCGCTGCACACCTGATTGGTACACCTCAGCTATCACGCCTTGACCAAGATTTGACCATCCTGGGGACCTTGGGAGCTAAAAAGCCGAGGAGCCTGTTCTTATCGGCAAAGTTAGACATTCTCCACTCACCGCAGTGCCGTGCCTGTTTCGCCCGCAGAGGGGAATTGCGTCTTTTCCGGCAATCCTCCGATTGTTTCTGTCCCATTTCGTGGCCTTCACGGTGAGCCCAGAGGCAGGCATTGGATTTTGGAAAGCCTTCAACGTTCTTCCAAAAAAAAAAAAAAAAAAAAAAAGTGTCATTGGCTTGAACCCTCAGGAATGCAGGAAGAACCATAGCCCAAGGAATGTGTTGAAAGGGGCATCTTTGGTAAAACCTCTTGAGACCTTCTAAACTTTGACTTCGTGGGTGAGCCCATTCAAGGTAACCTGTCTATTTTGATGTCGACCTTTGTTCTCGCATCCTAAAGAGATTATGGATCGGTAATTTCTACAACATCTTACCCGAGGGCCACCAGCTCCGTATTCACACTGGCTCCCTTCCTTCTCTGTGCCTCACACCCAGTGCCTCATCGGCTTGGCCCTCCCCGATAGCCCCATAAGCATACACATGAGCACTACTGTCTCCAAACCCCCCATCATCTAGCCGAGAAATTGCTCTCTTGACTTCATTTTCCCAGTTACTCATGCCAACGATTAACCATTCAAACACACCCACCAAATACAAGGCGACACATTGCCCAATCCACAGCCCACGGAGGCCCCATCCGTGGAAGGCAAGATAAATGCCCGTGGGAAGCGCACCGCCATAGTAACTGACCAAATTAACCGCCGCGCCCACCCACTGCCTCCCCGTTCCCCTTAACACGCCTCCGCAGGATCCATTCAAGCCATCGGCGATTTGGAACAGCGCCACAAACGGCATCACGTCTGCCACCAGTCGGATCACCCTCTCATCATCATTGAACAGGCGCCCAAACACGTCCTTCACGCTCATCAACACAGTCAGTATCAGCGCCCCGGCAACTATGCTGAGTACCACTGCACAATGCGACGCCCTGCTAGCCTCCTTGACCTTGCGTGCCCCCAACAGGTTGCCAACCCTTGAACTAGCAGCCACACCCAACCCGAACGGAATCGTGTTGATGATTTGATCCGCCGTCATAATAACCGACTGCGCAGCCAGAGCAATGGTGCCCAACTGACCGGCAGCCAGAGCCACGATTTCGAAGGCCCACCATTCGGTACCGACGTGGACGATGCCTAACAGAGCGAGGCGGATAAACGGGCCGATGTTGGAGAGTGCTCGGCGAGGGGAGAGGCCGCCCCAGCATTCGTGGCCGCGGACGAAGGTGGCGTAAGCGACGAGGAGGAAGAAAGAGCACCAGTATGAGATGCCGGTGGCGAGGGGGGCGCCGTGCAAACCGAGACCGAGTTTGTGGATGAAGAAGTAGTTGAGCAAGGCGTTGAGAGGGGAGGTGATGAGAAGGACGTATGTGCCGGGGCGGTAGACTTCTGTCGGTTGGGGAAATGGGTTAGTGACTATCACTTATGGGTGTCTTGCGGCGTAAACACAGCATTGAGGGAAAGCAGACCTTGAGCCTGCAAGAACTTCTTCATGCACTCAAACCAGATATAACCCAAACCGCCCGGTATGAGACGCCGAAGAAACATGGCACTCTGTACGCAAATGTACTCTTCCTGACCAAGTACCCGGAACAAAGGCTCGGACAAGGTCCATATCAAAGCCATGACAGCATACAAGGCGGACAGGACTACCAGTCCACGCTGCAAGAGGATGCCGAGATCATGCTTGTTGGATGAGCCGGTGTAACTGCTTGATGCAAGAGTGTCTAGAGCCGTTGAGCCTCCTAGAGCAATCAACCAAGCTGTGGACATGGCGAACATGTACGAGAAGGCAGCCGTGGCTAGGGCCTCTGGACTTAGACGGCCGACTATGAGGATGGAGCCGGTCTGAAGCGAGTTTTGGAGAGTATACGCGAATATGACGGGGATGGCATTCTTGGTGAGAAGCCAGAGCTCGGATAGCCATAGCTGATACTCAGGTAGGTTGGACGCCTCGGATTCCTCGACCTGGGTGCTGGAAGACTGGAGTGATGGAGGCTTCCTCACTAATGATGTTGTCTCATCTGGGCGAGGCTTCAGGGGGTCGGCTGACCTGGAGGGCGTTGCTCCTGACATTCTGGTATCAAACAAAATGTGATCGGGCGGTTAAACACGAGACGCTTAAGGTTTATATACCGTAAAACTTGCACACAAGAGGCTCACGTTGCTCAACCAAGGTCAGGAGATCAGGTGAGTCCATGACCTAATACTTATTTCTCCCCCATGGCGTACATGGTTCCAACAACTGCGTACTGGCACAACGATCCCCGCATCTGATGGCAGCGGGAAGAATAACGCAAGATAACATTCTTGCAGATCAGAGAGTGGGAGGATACCGAAACTTTGATATTGCTCTCCTCCGAGATTGGTAACTGTTCTCCAGCCAGTCAAGGATGGCTTCTTCGGATACGAAAAGATGATGTCGAGCATTCCTCGCAGAATGAAACCCGGCGCGCCACTGTGCGAGCTGAGGGGCCGTCGGGTCAGACACAATCGCAGGCTGATACAAGTATCTGGCCAGTGGAAATCGTCCATTGACCTCGGGTCGGGTCGGTGGTCATGTCTAGCAGTTTACACTGTAAAATGAGATACCCGGTTCAGTGCGTTGAATCGCAGTAGTGATTAATGAGTACAAAGGTAATTGCTCCAAAGTGGAAGATAGCGGTGCCGCTCATATGTCTCCATCTGCATGACATGGGATATGGAATCCTAAAGCAGTTAGACCGAACCTCATGCTAGGTGGTGATATCGATAGCAAGATCATGTCAGATAAAATGGCAAATGCCTAGACGACCACAGTGATGTTCAGAGTAGCAACAGACCTTTGTGGATTGCCACCGCGGGATCTGCTCTTGAATGGCTCGCCGATGGCTGTGTCTTATCGGAAGCTAGAAAACCAATAGAATGAGTTGCCAACCGACGCCTCTTCTTTGGTTGTCAAATGATGTTATTCATTGCAAAAAGAATTGATGTTCAATGGGAAATATCGCAACAATGGCTTTTCCCGCACAGAACGATGCCACAAGCAATCAATCAACGGCGTCGTGAAAATTGAACCCCTTGGGGTTGCGTGAACTGTGTTTCTTAAACCCATTGACAAAATCACATGTCGAGCAAAGGAGGCGGTGATTCTCAACCCAGGCAATGTATATGTCTGTTTGTTTTTATGAGCACAAGGAAAAGGGAAGATCTTAGAAATTGTTTCAGGACGAAACAAATCGAAAGCCGCTACAGAAAGACAACAAACAAATGGAGGAAGCATTCGATGTGCAAGACGCTGAAGCGACTGACTGGAGCCATGGAAATAGATATGGGAATAGTTGCGAGAATGCGAATTCTGGAATAGAAGCTTATTCCTCCCGCAACACGTTGGCACAAGTCCACTCCCTCTAGTGTGTAATTATAACTATCCGGGCGGAGCGGGGTGCGCTCGGGGTTGAAGCGGGGGCAGCCATTCAATGTAGTATTCCCGGCCCGGGGATGACGTTACCGCGGTGAAGCCAGACCACCAGATCCCGGGCTCCGATCATTTGCTGCCGGTTGTGAGAGGAACATTTGATGGGTTACGAAATGAACGAAGTGATCGAACTCTGGTTGCTTTTTTTTTTTTTTTTTTCTTGGCAGCAAAACTGGTTGAAAAATATTAAGTATAGGTAACAATGACATACATACGTATACACAAACACAACAAATTCATAGCTGCTGGACTTCTAGTTTGTACTACACGAGTACACGCCTGACGCTACTCAATACCATGCTATCTCCGTTTGGTACGCTTGATCATAGCGCTGGCTCCTCCTGCCGTAGTGTACATGAAGAGAACCACCATCCAAATATTAAATGAGATCAGATGACGGAAGGTGCGCAAGGCAGCCTTGAGATTTGCGCGGGTACCTAGAGGTAGGCACCTACTTACCTGCGCTCTGCATTCCGTTCTTTCCAAGTCACTTGTTGCCTTCAGGCTTTCCCGGTGTCATGGCATCGGCATGATGGCAGCGAGGGCAGTGCTCCAACTTCACCTCGGTTCAGCCTCCTTCCCCTTTCCCTTCGCCAGGCTCGTCGTCTTCGACTTGTCGTCGCTCCCACGACGCTCGTCGAATTCCTTTCCAAGCTCGTTCCTGGCACTGCCGCTCCTACTCCTGCTGCTTCCAGGCTTCATGTTTGACGATCCAGTGTTTTCCTTCAGGTTGACATTGTCGCCCTTCAGCCAGCGTTGAAGCCGCATGGCCGCGTCCATGGTACGATGCGCAATCTCCCAATGCCCCATACCCATTTGTAGCAGGGTGGTGTTCATCATTGACTTGACCCACAGATCATGTCCTGTGTTCTTTACACTTGATATCAGAGGCAGAAGCATCCAGTTAAAGACTCCCAGCAAGGAACGCCATTTAGCCAGCGGAACCCTCCACGCCGTCGTCCAGAGCTCCAGGAAATCCTGCATGCTGACCACTTCGCTGAACGGACGCCGTGTCATGATGGCTCGAGTGTACAGGATTGCCGATGTCCTGATGGCTTGGTACACATAGTCCGGGCTCTCAGGACTGGGTTGCACGGTTAAGTCTTCTCCCAAACTTCCTTTTCCTTGTTTCGGCATCTCCCCCGCGCTGACCTCGGAACTGCGTCCCGTTGCCTGCTGTTGAACTCCGAGACCATATGCTGAAAATTGCTGGGTGCTTTGTGTTGTAGGTGATGCAGCCGCCGTAAGCCCGTTATTACCCTCCACAACCCCCCTGGTTTGTGACTCAGGTGTCATGTTCACTGCCGGAGATGGAGCATTGGCTGGTCTCGGAGAAGGTCGTCTCGTTACAGGACCGTCCGTCGAAAGCCTCAACATCTGGTCATGAGTCCAAGCAGCCGTGTGATGCAGTTTCTGTAGTTCCGTCGGGGAAGCGTTCTCAGGAAGCCCGAGGACCGTGCAAACAAGGAACCGCATATCGTCCAGGATCGAAGCCGTGGTGGGGTCTATGTCAAACTCCTCATGGCATGAAGCAAAGTGTGGGAGAGATCCCGATGATATCATCGGTATTAAGGGCGTGTTCAGGGCCAGCTGCAACGGGGGCTGGGTGCTGTCTTGAAAATCAAACTCGGGGCCACCTCGCAAAGAAGGTGGTATCTCGAAACACAATGCAATTCCAACGTCCGACCTGCGCATTCTTTGTCAGCACAACCCCTTTTCATATGATACTGCCCATCGAATCTTACGTTATGGCAAGTTTGCTAATCAGCCCGTTCAGCCCCAGCGTTCGAAACCCACCACGAAGTTTAATCATCTCACAAAGGCCGCCCATATGTGCATGGAGGGATTGCTTTTCGCCCCAATACCACTCGTTGATAATGAGCTGAACAACTCCGGCTATTCCTTCGTCTCCGGCTACCAGGCTTGACTTAATGTGCTCATTCAAAAGCGCTATAGCTTGCCCCTTATGTGCCATCGCTACCGTCGTGTCAATGATACCCGCCACATGGAGCCATCCTGCAGCGGTGCATATGGCCACGCGAGTTAGGAGAGGCGATCTGAGACAAAACGGAATGTAGTGTTGGATATACGGGTTGGCTGCATCCGGGCTGCTATCTATGGATGCTTTCATATTGCCGATCAGGTTGATGACTGCATTGATTGGTAGTGTCAGCAACGTATACCCAGACCCATATTGTTTCCCAGACGAGGCAGACAACTTACACATGTTTAGCAGGTCATTGTCTTGGATAGGCTGTCCAGGCGCGCGAGGGATGTGTCCGTGTCCTTCGTCCGGACTTGTTCCGGGCCACGGTGCTACGCCGCTAGCTTGAAGACTCCCAGAATCTATGCTTCCCGAGGGTGTCTCTCGAAATAAGGTCCCACTCAGAAAGCGAGCGGGAATAGTGTAATACGTTCGAAGTAGATTTGCGGCATCATGGTACAGGTCAGGATGGACTGTACACCCGTCATTGCAGCCAAATTCTTCTGGAAGTAGACCGCCCTGCGTTCTGCTGAAGACGTGTGGTTGAGGCATCATAGCAGACACGGGAAGCTGAGTTCCAAGATCTATCCCTGACCAGCGCACTGTCACTGCTCCAATCTCTCCTCCAGGACTCGCTGCCCATGATGACGATGTCTGCCGCGGGGGTAAGAGGGGATGACGGGCTCCTTCAATTTCGTACTTCCCGCTGTACCGTCCCGATGAAGGCAATACAGATATTGCAAAGGCCGATTGCTGGGAGATGGGAGTTACGCTAGGCCGTCTTTGTATCCATCCGGTTAGTTTCCTTTCCCATAGACAATTATGCCTTGATCATGGAGCTGGTATGTGTACCTGCTGCTCGGTTTATACTCGCATAACGGTTGTGGAAACCGCCTTGCGCAGTTGCTACATGGCTGACCCTGATTGCACTAAGGAAAAGGGAACATGCCGTCAGTCTAAGACAGACCAGTACAGATGATGTTCTGGTTAAGTTGGGCCTTGCTATCCTGTTGAGACTCGAACATGACACCCGCTTGGAATTATCGTACCTTTTGTTTTCTTCTCCGGCACTCCCCACAAGACGTTGTCGTCCTCTCGGCACGCGAAGACCGGCCGACAGGAGGACGTGTGGCCTCGGACATGGTCCTGTCTGGACGGCGATTTTGACAGCACAACAGTCATTGGGGTTTGCGCCGAACATGAGCATAACAGGCCATAAGGCTGACTTATAGCTAAGTCCCGTTCCGAATGATGGTTGTGACAAGGAACAGGTATCAGGCTTCACCCTGCACACCTTCGGCTTTCAGACTCTTTGGGATTAGCGTATAACCTGCCGCTCGGGTTGCCAGGAACCCATCACTGGTGAAGCAGACCGGGAGGGCGAGCACCCACTGGTGACGGTCTGCTTCACAAGAAGCGAGATGTGCTAAAGTAGAAGGGCAAAGCCTAGAACAACAGATCACGGTGATCTGCATACAGCTCATCACTTTTTTTTTTCATTTCCAAGCCTGCGGAGGTGACAAGCATCCACCTTCGGAAGCAATGGCTCGACACAGAGACTATTGGTTTGACATAATCTGAACAGGGTACACCGCAGAAACTCCTGTTGCAACCTCACTTGTTCTACCCCGTAAGCCAACACACAAGCGTCGACACAATTATTGCGCACGATGATGGATCATGAAGAACCCAAGGTGCTGCTGACTACAACCCCTGACATGAAGAAGTCCTGAATTCTTGAATGGTTTGGCAACAGACCACTGAGACATTAACGGCATACCCCCTCAACAATGGAAATCAACGACATACATAGGGCGATGCAACTTGGAACGGACGTATGTAGACGTGAATATTCTAATAGGTCCTGATTCTTGGCTTCCCCAACCTGGTATGTAGAAGCCACTCCCTTCACAGCGTCATAATACGCTCGCCCTCGAGCCTATTTTGGAAAATGGTCGCGGGATCTGTGCCTCGAGAGTTGTTCAAGTTGGATACCACTGCGAGACCTCGAGGACTCGGCAGGTAGTTTGCTAATTGGCGGTCTACGTGATCAATACCGGACTAGTGGTTTCAATGAAGGTGAAGTGGAGGCGTTTCCTCGTTTTCGTTAGACCGTCACAAGCCCCCAGACAAACGTATTGAACTGGGGTTAATTTTGGTTGCCCTGCCGCTGACTCGAGTCTTGGGTAGGTCGACAGGAAATCTCTCACGTTAGGCCATTGTGGCAGTGCATCAGTATGGCAGGGATGAGCTGCCGGATCAGCAGCCGCCAAGCGAACAGGAAGTTGCCCCAGAACTACGTTGCGGCGACTGACAGGTACAGGTCTCACATACCGTCGTCTCGTGCCGCCAGCTCGATACAGAAGCCGAGTGGTAAGCAGAGATCGAGCCAGTAGAGACAAAGCTGGCTTAACCCTCATCAAGCAAATATCAGCTGAGTACCTTTCCAGGGTAGATCCAACAGCATGTTGAGGATGTACCGATGTGAAGGGGAAATCCGGTACAAGTGCCCATGATCCTCGCCTGCACGATACAGAACCTCCCACTTGGAATACCACCGGAGGTCTTTCCGAAAGAGTTACGGACCAGTCACAGAACATCAAAATGCGAAAGCTAAGTGCCCCTACATCCTTACCACGGCGATACTAGCCCGAATGCAATCCTCGTCTGGAACCATGACCATCATGGAGAAAGGCACATGGCTCAACATGCATCGGTAGTGAGGAAAGACTCTTCCCCTCCTTCCCCTCCTCAACTGCCGGGAAGGCCTTAGCGCTATTACTCTCAAAAGAGGCACAGCTGTACACGGATGACACAATCTGAGCTGTCTGGCATGGACCTGCCTGTCCTCTGTCCGAGAGCTTTTTTCCCCCCTCGCCCACGAGTAATGAATGCCAAGACTTTTCGCATAATAGGGGTGTGATGTTTACTATCTGATGAAGCCAATCCGTACAATGTAACGTAACAAGAGGCCCTCGATATCTGATAGTCTATCCGTTACCGGTGTTTCAGCTTCTAGAGCCATAACAGAGCATCTCGCTTTTTTTATCCTAGTTCATAGGCGTTTTACCGCTCGTATGAAAAAAAAGATCGAGTGGAAGAGATCCAATTAAGCATGATTACCCTTGATCGACGCTACCGGCACTGAACTGCACTGTGACGTAGGGCTGAAGGGGTAACAGCTCCACCCAAACCGAACCCTTGGGTCGACATGTCGAGTCTGAATTACCACTTCTCTCACGGAATATGCGCCCGGTATCATGAAGGGATGCAGTCGGGCATGGGTATGATGATCAAGCTCTGTATCCGGACCGAAGGTCAAACCAAACATTATTAGAGCAAGTAAATTCCAGTCCAACAGAAGTGAGGGTCTAGAAGGGTCTTGTACCCAGTTACCCAACTTGGTACCCAGCTAGCTCGAGAGCGTTGTTACCCGAAAAGTAAGCCCGATATTTCCTTTTTTTCTGCTCCTCCTTACCCTAACCACCTACAGCCTTCTACCCAATCAAAATGTTCACACCCTCAGAATCGCGGTATGTACAAGTTGATCCAAAAACCGGAACTCATCCCGAGCCTGTGTTCCTTATGAGACCAGGCTTCCGATGCGTGCCACCACTGCCCTTGAAGACTTCGTAAACCAAACCACTCCGGTCCACTCCTCTTTTCCCCGCCTTGTTCTGGATGTTTCATAAACACCATTACACAAGACACAAGTGAGTGAGATGACATGGGCACGAGGAGATAGAAAGAAAGGAAAAAAGAATCTCCCTCTCTTGTGTTTTTCTTTCCTAATTACGGTCCAGCTGATCCATATCTGTGATTGATGTGGTTGCTGTGGTGTTGGTGCTGTGCTGTGTGATGACTGCCTGCCAGAACATGTAGTGTGACTGTGCTGATTTGCTATAATTGGTATACGTCGCTAACAGGGCTCAGCTGGCTCTCGTTGATTGATGGATGATTTTCTTTCGACATGTGGTAAAAAGATAAAGTGCGAGCGAGGGGCATGAGTGGCCGGCAGAAGCAAAGGTAGAAGATATTTGATAGGCTAAACGAGATACAGAATGACCAAAGCCGGGTAACGACGCCTGCCGAAGAGAAACACATGGAAGAAATTAAGTGGAGAGACTTCATTACGACACATGCAAAAATTTCATAAAAAGCTGGAACGCAGCTGAACAAGCGACGCCCACACTGATCCAAGGTATCTTTCCCAAAAAAAAACAAGTTAGAGAAACAAACAAGGCCGACCCGTCCTTAACCAGTCATGGTCCACATCCCATCCAGATGGCGCTCTTAATAAAGCGCAATTCTGGCAGAACACTTCCATTCTCATTTCCAGTCGTCTTCTAGAGTCGATTTGGTTACCCGCCCCCCCCCCCCCTCCCCTTTTTCTCCTCTAACCCTACCCTCCCTCCCTTTCCTGCCACCGTGACCATCGCGCGAGAAAAAAACATACTAGAAATACGTAGACTAGAAAAATACCGAAGCCAACAACTGAAATAGAGCCGGAGGGGCCACCAAGAAAGTCATGAAAAGCAGAAGTCATTAGAGATTTTCTTGGCTAAATACACTTCGCATTGCGGGCCGATTGACATCCATCCTCAGAATCAACCCTTATCCACCCGCACCTCAGATGCAGTAAGTACTGGTATAAGAGTATTATATATAGTTTAGATATGAAAAAGACTTGGTATTGGTAAGTAGTGGTATCATCGCGTATTCCGTGTCATAACGTCATATCAAGGAGTATTGCCGTCGTTCGCCCACGAGATTGTGTGTGTGGTATATTTTTCTCGTCCTTTCTTTTCCGCATGCCTCTCCGTCTCTCCATCTCTCTACTCCACTTTCCTCGTCTTCAAGTTTTGTGCGAAATGTTCGCTTATGTTGGCTTTCCAATGCCCGCTCCATTTCGTATCCAGTCAATCGGTTCCCGGTGACACATGGCTTATGGTTGGTTGTTTGGGTGCCTGTGTCCAACCACACTACACCACTACACCATCACCCGCCGGCAGGCATGGCGTGTTCCTCCCTTCCTCTCATTCCTCACTCGTGGTATCATGCGTATCTTTGCCCCTTCACCTCACATTATAATTAGGTTTCCTCGCCATGTTCACAACAGGTGGCTCCTCGTCATCGTCAATCGGATACGGCACATACGCAGCCGGCAGGGTATTCTGCCTGCCATTGAGACTAATCGGCGAGATCAGTCCGTCTGCCGAGGACAAGGGCGTCTTGGGCGGGAGTGGTGGCGGTTCTATCCTCGGCGGGTACTGGAAATGCTGCTGGTACTGCTGGTTCTGGTATTCAGGATACCAGGGGTGTCTGGGCTGGTCGTCCTCGGTAACGATGGCGATCTTATCTTGCCCTGAAGCGTTGCGCCATTGTGCGGGGGTTGGGGCGATGGCGACGAGTTTGTCTGAGTCGTCGGTCCCGAATGAAGCTGGAGGAGGGACGGCGGGGGCTGGACGACTGGGCGCTAGGTGGCTGCTGCTGCTTTTTGCCGAGTGAACGCGCTCGGCTGAGGATCTGGGCGAGGGAGTATTGATGCCATTAGCGCTATGTCCTGGGACAGAGAGCGCGTCGAAGCCGGATTCGTAGGACTGTCGGCTTGGTGGCGTGCCGAGTCGCTGAGGAGGGTAAATTGGCATATCGCCAGGTAGTTCGACAGCTAGGGGCATGGAAATGCTGGGTGTAGTCTTGATCAATTCGGGAATAGGGCCAGGGGCGGTGCTGTTGCTGTTGGCACGCTCCCATCGCTGCTTTGCGAAGTGGATCTTTGCAAGCTTGGCCGATGCGCCCTGAACCATTCTCTGCTCGTCGTCCCGCTGCAAATATCGCCTGGTGTTTGTGCTGATGTCGGATAACCTGTGCCACTCGTTCATACCAAACTCGCCAACGCCGACCTCAACGTTGAAGCGGTAGTAGTTCTCAATGTTGACGCCACGCTTCACCAGATGCTCCTTCTTCATCATCTCGTGAATCTTCTCGCACCCCTCGATCTTGGCAATCAACTTCCTCCGTGCGTCCGCGAACTCGCCCATAAAACCCTCGTACCAGAGAGTGGAGTTCATATCACTTCCCTTTGGCCGCTTTCCTGTCCCGACACTGACGAATACCCCAACTTCCCGTCCGGGCCACTCGTTAACCACCGCTTCATCCAGGGCGTACATGGAAGGGTTGAAGACGCCAGCACCATCATCATGAAAAATAGACTGGCCGATCTGTATGGGCTTGAAGGCAAGTCCAATAGCGCAGGTGGCTCGGCCTGCTTGCCAAATCGTGCAATCGAATTCGGGGGCTGGTTCCTTTCTCGAGTCGTAGGAGCGAAGCACAGCTGGCTTCGCGTTTCTAGGAGATCCCTTGTACATGGCCGTCACGGCACTGAACAGTTTTGTCAGCAGTCAAGCGTCCAAGCTAGGACTCTTTTTGCGATACTCACGTTTTTGTCCGGTTTTCCCTCTCGTCGTACAGACGAGCATGGGG